TATCTTCTATTCTTCATCAACCCGTATTGACTTTAGTTTAAAACAAAACTTGCATGTACCTCAACCTGAAGAAAATCTCTTTTAACAAGAAAGGAAGAAGAAAACAATATTTTTGTAAGTTGAAGTCTTTTCTTCTCTTTTCATATATCTTCTCAGTATGCTTCAACTTTTGTGATGATCATATCTCTTCATTTCACTCTTCTTCTCCAGTTGAAATAGTGTTCCCAGCTCCTTGACCTTCGATTTTCAATGGAGCTTCTTTAGTTTGAAGAAGAGTCATACCTCTGTATCTAAAGAGCTGAAAGAAGTTCTATAACGGAAGATAAATTAGTGGCGAGAGATAAATTACCCGTAATGACTTATTCATTTGCTACACAACAATACTATGAAGTATGAACTCCTCTGCACCACTAACCAATGGATAATGACATATTTGCAAAGCCATGTGTATCTTTCGTTTAGTCCTTCCCAAAATCACTTTGTATACGATATCAATCGCTCCGCCACTTCGAAAAATTTACAGCTAGCCACCATCAGATTGAAGATTCGTCTTTTTAGAGAAAGAAAGATGAAACCATCGGCTGTTCTACTTTGTGGAATAAATTAAACTGTTTTGTAAATAAACTTGTTGTAAAAGTCGATCAATAGAGGTTATATGTGTGAGATGCAGGTGGAGATCGTGGCTCAAAAGGTTGAAGCTGTTTTTCTTTTGTTACAGTTTTGTTTTTTTTTGTCCTCACATTCTTTTTGTTTTAATGGCATAATATTGTTTGAAATTTTTTTTCTTTTATGTTTTGTTCTTTTAACATTTTAAAAATAAATTGAAGAATTAACAAATGGCAAAATATGATTGATTGAGTGACTTGTGCTTTATTATATAAAGGATTTGGTTTAGGTGTTAGTATCTTTTGGGATAATTTTGCAAGTGAAGCTAGAATCGTGGCAGTAAGTGTGATATTCAATGCAGTATTTGTGGATGAGAGAAAGTATAAATCATGTTCTGTTTGAATGTCCATCAACATTACAAATTTGAACTTTGTCAAAAATCCCCTTAAACTCTGGTGTGTTGTTAATGATTTGCGAACAAGGATACTTATTTTGGAGACTGCTCAAGAAGTTTGATTTAAGGTGTTCCCATAGGTATGGTATACCTGGAAAAATAGGAATAAAAATGTATATAATAACAAAAATGAAAACTCTCAAAAGTTGAAGGAGTTGAAGGAAATTTATAGGTTGAGGGAAAATTACTCTGTTCAACATCAACACATAACCTTTATTCATCTCTCAAGTTATAATATGGAATACTTTAATTGGTGCCATGTTGATGGATAATGGAATAATAAAGATATTTTTAGAAGGCAAGGATGGGTTTTAAGCAGTGAAAGTTCAGCTGATAATATGATGAACCATAAATATCAGAAGAAGTCTATTTTCAACTGGTGAATATGAAGCTCTGATTTGTGTAATGAACTGCATGAAGACCATTCATATTACGAGGTGGGTTTGCATTAGACTATTTTTAGCTGGTGAAAATGATATCTATATCGACGAGGAGACGACTTTCATGATACACAATGAGAAATTTCAAAGTTGCAAAGATTTATTTCCTAAATTTATTATCCAACATATTTCAAGGACATAAAATGCAATGGTTATCAAACATACACATGGTGCTCTGATTAAATATTTTATGTTGATTCAACTTACTAAAATGGTTTTCGGATTTAGGATCCGGTTAAGATTAGTATAGCCTTTGTTAGAAACAAAATGTTATTACATTACATCTACATAAAACTCCTATTACATTTCAGAAGCTTTAGCTCGATGGTCGATACCTGGTCGGCTACAGTGGAAGCTTAATTCAGACACGTCTCCTAGATTAATCCTTCCACATCAATACTATTAAAACAGAAGCACTTTTTATCAATTTACAAGTAGTCTACCTCAAAACATTACATTTATTTAATTTTGTGTTATGTTATATATTACAAACTTAGTTATTATTCAATAACAATATAATATTAATATAATATTTAAATATATTCAAAATAAGATATTAAAAAGATACTCTTAACTACTTTTTCAGATTACATTTTAACAATATCTTTAATATATTTTTATTTTAAAATTTATATTTATTGTTTTAATATTATTTTAATAATAAAAACGTAAATAATATTAAATTAAATTATAAATGAGTATTAACTCATTTTGATTTATACAATAAGAACTAAATTTCTGTAACATTTATATTTCATATTTGTAACTAAAAATTACACAAAATAATAATTATAATACAAATTAATCAACTTTATAAATTATAAACTAGATGAATTACATTTACAAAATAACAAAATACTACCATAAGATATTAAAAATGAAATAATTTTATATTTTAATATACATATCTAAATTAAAACATTAGGATATAAAAAATTAACATTTAATTAACTGATACACAAAATAATAATAAACAATTTTTTTTCAAACCTCCACCAATACATAATAATATATAAAATCTTAAAATCGTTTTTATATATATATATATATATATATATAATGTTTTATAAAATAAATATTAATAATTGCTACTATTAATATTTAATTATATGATGAAACATATTATTACTGATATTTTTATGATTATAATTTTACGGGTTATTCTAATAAACAAACAAAATATTTATCAAATATAAAATTAATTTAACAAAATATAAAACATAATATAAATTATGCTTGGGAATTCAAGTACCTATTGGGATATAGGTCGAATATTTTAAATTATAGCTAATTTTTATCACATCATAGGTGTCATAATATGTAAGTAGACATGTTTGTAAGTATGGATCAGATTCAAATATAACACGTCAGTTTGGTTCTAATTTGTACACATCCTAAAACCGATAAAGTAACCACATATCGTTCGGATTCGGGTTATACTGGTTTGGCAATCTAAAATCTAAAACCAAAACAAAAGAAAGATACTTATTTTTATAGAATTGGATATTAAAGTACTTAGTTAAAATTTAGATAATTAATTCTAAATATAATTTTAAAATAAATATAGAACTGAATATTTAAACTAGATATTTATGTTTCAAATATTTATATTTATGATTAATTTGGACATTCAAATCGATTCAGATTTTTCCAGATTTTTTGGTTTTTGGGTTATTTGTTCGGGTCTCGCTAATAACACTTTGATTTGGATATATTTTGTACCACCCTACAAAACTCATTCTGATATATTTTAGATTTTGATCGGTTACGGATCCAACTTTTTTTTTGTTTAGATTGAGTTTAGACGTTGAGTTATGGATTTTATGCACATGTCTACTTTATATAAAACAAAAATGCGGTCATACAAAATTTTCACCGAAAGATTATCCTGCATTTTTAAAAAGAATAGGTTTGATGAAATAAAATAACTAAATAAGTTTATCCCACATTTATACATGTATAAGAAATGCGATTATATAAGGTTTGCATCAAACATAAACTCGCGCTTTGAAAGCGCCGGTCAAAATCTAGTCTAATATATTAAAACAGAGTCCTATTTTTCTATCTACCTACAACTAGTCTAGGTTGATCCATTTAATTTATGTAATTTTTAATATTTTGTATATAACAAACTTAGTTATTATTAAATATACATAATATTCATATATTATTTAAATATTTTGAAAATAAGATATCAAAAGATATTACCAAATATATTTTCTAATATTGCATTCTGACAAAATCTTTTAATATCTTTTATTTAAAATACAGATATTTATTATTTTAATATTTGTTTTACTAATAGAAATTTGTAATTATTTTAAATTTTATTATAAATAAATATTAATTCATTTTATTTTATAAAATAAAGATACTATTTCTATAATGTTTATATATATATATATATATATATAATCATACATAATTAAATTATTACTGTAACGAATATATATAACATAATTTAATTACAACTATTTTATAAATTGTGAATTAAAATAATTACATATGCATGATAACATACACTTTACAAAATATTTCAGTTTATTTATGAAAAATATTAAAATAAAATATTTGGAAGCATAAATATTCTTTTATATTTATCATAATAGCTAAATTATATTATTAACATATAATTTAGTATATTTGCATTTAGAATAAAATATGAAATTTAGTGGACATTAGTATTATTTGATTTTATAATATACTGAATTAATATATTATGATTTACAATTACACGTTTTTGCAGCTTATTTCATAAAAATGTAAATATTTATCAAGTATGAGATTGAACGCCATATAATTAATTTATATTATAATATATATTTATTTAATATTATTAAAAATAAACTTGAAAAATATAAGAAAGAAAAAAATAAAGTTACATTATAAGTACGGATCATGTTAGAATAACCACCGGTTCTGTTCTAATTTGTATCACATCCTAAAATCTATAAAATAACCCTATATCGTTTGGATTTCGATTATATTAGTTTGGTTCAGATATATCTGAAATTAAATCCTAAATTTAAAAGGAAAACATGATAAATGAATACTTATTTATATAGAATTAGATATTTATAACATTTAATTTAAATTTAAATACTTATTGTAGATACCATCACAAAATAAATATAGAATTAAATATTTTAAGTATATATTTAGGTTTCAAGTATTTATACTTATGATTAATATGGCATTCAGATCGGTTTTTGAGTTTTCTGGGTTTTCGGTTTTTTAGGTTATCCGTTTAAGTTTGGCTAATAACAATTCGGGTGTGGATATGTTTTGTACCACTCTAAGAGACCCGATTTCTTACATTTTGGACCGAGTACAGTTCAAATTGTTAGTTTGGGTTCAATTTAGACTTTGGATTACAAATTGTATATTTAAACTTACTTTAAATATAGAGAAAATACGATTACATAAAGTTTCATCAAAAATTATTGTACACTTGAAAAGCGTGGGATAAAATCTAGTTCTACATTATTACAACAATTTTTTGCGATTAAATAATAAGAGCAACTGATACTTCTCGTACATTATAAAGATCTTTTTTGTTAATCAATTATAAAGATCTTTAATAGAAAAGACACAAAGTGACATATTTATTTAAACATAGAGAAAAAAATACTGAGATTGTTGGATTGGAACGTAAAAACAGAAACATGGAACATCTACGTAGAATTTAATAAAGCAACATGCAAGGGAATATGATTTGTTGGCATCATTCAGTTTCTATATCCGTCAAGGATGAGAAGGCAAAGGAGGCCATTTCCCGAACTTAGGGTGTGGAATGTATTTAGGTGGGAAAGGCGGAAGCTTCGGAAGTGGTGGACACGGTTTCTTTGGAATGAACACCGGTGGCTTGTAGATTGGTTTGTATATTGGCACTGGCGGCTTGTATATAGGCACCTTAGTTTTAGGCGGACACGGCTTCTTTGGAATCACCACCGGTGGTTTGTAGATGGGCACTGGGGGTTTGTAGATGGGCACCGGGGGCTTGTAGATCGGTTTGTGTTTAGGCACTGGAGCTTTTGGAGGACAGGGCTTCTTTGGAATCACCATCGGTGGCTTGTAGATCGGCTTGGGAAGTGGCGGAAATGGTTTCTTTGGGATCACCACTGGCGGCTTGTAAATATGAACCGGTGGCTTGTAGATAGGTACTGGCGGCTTGTAGATGGGCACTGAAGGCTTGTGTGCGATCTTTGGTGGGAACGGCTTCTTGGGGATCACCACCGGTGGCTTGTAAATTGGGAGCAATGGTGGAAGCTCTATCTTTGGGGGACAAGGCTTTTTGATCTTAGGAAATGGAGGAAGTTTAAGTGGTGGGGGCAAAGGGAACTTAGGCGTATCCCACAAGAACTTTTGATCTTGTGGGCTTTTGATCTTCTTGTTACTTTCAGCATAGCCAACGACATTGACGTCACGGCCGAGAGAATGAAGCGCGGAACAAAGAACAAGCACAAAGAGGAGGCAGTAAGCACCTCCCCCGCATCTTGGTAGTATCCTCATGATCGGATTCGTATAGAAGAAGATATATGTTACTATTGGAAGAGATAATCGATGATATGATTCTGTGAAATCGTCTCTTGTCTATTTATAGGTCTTTAGGAGCTGAGCTAATATTTTCTGAACACGACACTGATTTCCATGATTTATTTATTAATTTTTTTTTCTTCTAAAAGTTACGAGTCAAAAAATAATTAGTGTGTATCCCGTAGCCAGGTGAGTGTAAGAGTTTTAATTTTTTTTTTGAATGTCAAGTCTTTTTTTTTATAGAGAGAGTATCATCTTTCTACGTAATTTGATTCGTACTCGATTTAGGTATTTTATTGACTAAGAGTCCACTGATCATACATAAGTACGAGAGTATAAAAAGTGTCTACATACCACCTACCCCAAGTTAAATCCGATCACATGAGAGGATAATATATTTTCCCTCAGAAAAAACAGATAGGGGGATTCACGCATGTCAACACACTCCTTTTTATCCTCATCACCTTAATATGTGAAGAAATTAAAATGATAAAAGCTATTTAGTTTGTGGTGAGTTATGATAAAATAAGTTTGAGCACCAGGTGTCAGGCAAAGGCAATAATCCAAGTTATATACTGAGGTCCGTAACTTGTTGGTTATCCAAAAATAACGAATTTCTAACTAAAAACTATTAGTCTCCTAAATGTATGAAAAAGTGTAATTTAAATATATATATATATATATATATATATATAGTAGAATTTGAGATGTGTGACGGGATGAGGTAGCAGTTTGGTAAAGACCTTGTGAGCCAATTGTCATGCTCACGAGTTCGACGTCAGGCGGGGGAACTGCCAATTCTTGTCACTAAATGCGGTATTGGGTGTTGGGTCTTGTCCCCAGCCCAGGTTAAACCCTCCCGGGTGAAGTGGACCGCTGCCTAACCGGGCCCAGAGGAATGATTCACGTAAGTGGGGAACTTCTGGATTATAAAAGAAAAAGAAAACAAAAAAATTGAGATGTAACAATGTGAATAAATGTTGCTGGAAGTACGTCGTCCACACCTCAAATGCGTAAATGAAAAAGTCATGTATTTACCACTACGGCTAAAAGGCCGCCGGCATGTAGAGCGCATGATATAAGTAACAACGGTAACAAATCTTATGCGAAAAAAGCATATATAGTTTTTAACTGGTTAGAAATGAGTTTTTTTTAATCAATTAATAATATATGGTTATTGGTTAGAAGGTAGAAATGAACAACATTACTTTCTTATTGTCTTTGGAGCTGGCAAGTCCCCTCAGCCACAATTCCTTCTAACAGAAAAAACCAGCTCAAATGCATTGCCTGTTATTCTTCTTCCACCTACATATACTCTCAACTACTTCATATAATAAGTTGTGTTATATACAACATATTTATTATATAGCTTCTACACTTTGTTATCTTGTATCCATTCTAAACCAAAATGAATAATCGGTTTCTCTATTGTCAATCAAATTCGAGACGCATATCTGTTCCAATGAAGCTATTTTTTTTTATCTAACTCGTAAAGTACTACTATAACCACATCTTATTTGGTAAATGTTTCCCCAAGATCCTTACTTAACGAGCGAGTATAGCTTTTCAACTGTATAATGTTGGGCGGATTGATAATTTTTTAACTAATATGAATTAAAGAATATAACAAACATTTAATAAATAGCATAGTTTTGTAGATGGTGTGTCTAATCAATCGTCTCCTAAAGGCTACCATAAATTGTTCATTACTTTTCCAGGGATCCACAAATCATTCACTAAATCTATTTTAGATCTATCTTTTTTCAATAAAATTGATGGTTGGAGATGGTGCTTATCTTCCTATTTCTCATACTGCTGCCCCCCGTGGGAGTCCGGGCCGTGTCTCAGTCCCGGTGTGGCTGATCGTCCGAAATGATCTACTAAATAGCTTTTTGCATTTATAATATTTCGTAGTGACATAAAAAGGAGTTTGTGACAACAATATTTTCTTAACCAGGCCGGGTCTATGGGTCGTGCATGCAGCATGCCCACAATAATGCTGTTTATGTATAAACCGGGCAATCATGTGAGGTGTTCTACTATATGTTTATACAGCACATCAAAAATCTCTACTGCATTCGTGTTTTTTCCCATGGTGTAGTAATCTTCACAAATCATGTAGAGACAATCATAGTATGTGATTTGTTATTGAGCTAGCTATAAATAACTTTCCTCCTTTACGTGAATCAGCCAAAGTTTCCAACCTTTATTCTTTACTTATCATTGTCCAAAAGCAGTAAACAACATCACCGTTATCTAGAATTGATAAATATATTCAGATATGATAGGTTAGTTTTCACAAAGTTGTGTTCGATGCAAAAAATGCTTATACGTGAGGATGAGAAGGTGATGTGTGCAGCTTCTTATGCAGCTTTCTTGATCATAGCAATTGTGGCCCACTTTGGGTAACAGATTTCTTAGTAGAGATTATTCTTGCCATACTCTAATTCTCTTGGGTAACAATTTCTTTTGGGTTCAGATCAGTCTCTTGCAAGGGCACTACACATGCTAAAAAAGAAGAAAAAAAATACTCCAATGAAAAGTCTAAAGAGAACATTATAATTGTCTTGGTTGTTTAAGCTTAATATACAATCTTTTCAAATTAGTAAGAATGCCAAGCTAGGATCAAATACATGGACATATGCAAAAATGACTACCTAGTAGAGTTAGAGACTAAACGTGTCTTAAAGTGTTAAACGGAAATATAGTTAAATCGTTAACAATATCATAAGATGTCTCTAAAACAGATTTTTATTCCAAAACAGTCATATCAAGAAAAAATCACAAAAAACATTTATTAAAGGTTATAAAGATATATATACCTTAAGATTTAAAAGTTTAGGATTTAGAGGGTATTATTCAATTAGTGATTTAAAGTTAATTTTTAATATTTGCAATCCAGCAAATTTTAAAATTTCAAAATTGTTAATAGTTGATAGATTCTAAAAGCTTTGTAGTATCTCTTCGATTATTCATACATACATTGAGATGATTTGAAATAAATTAAAAATACAAAGAATTTTAAAATCCTTGAAAGTTGAATAACATTAGATTTAAAAATATGAATTTAAATCAATCATTGAATAACATTAGATTTGATAACATAATTTATAATTACCATTCTAATAACAGTGAATTGTGTTTAGATTTAAATTCTATCAAAATATATCATTAATAATATCATCTTAAGATTTAGGGGATGTTATTGAACTAATGAATTCAGTGGAATTTATTAAAGATAAAATGACAAGGACCGCAAATGAAACATTGATATATATAATTCTTAAATTTTTAAAATAATTTATACAGACATTGACCTCCAAATTAATATTTTTTCTATAAAAATTCCTACTAAGCTTATAACCTACAATCTCAGGACCAGTTATGTGGAAGACTAAACTACATTTCACAAATAATCAATTAATAATAAATAATATTTTTTTTAAAAATGTTATTTGAAAATAAAATCAATAGTGTTACCTTAAAATTTATACTTTAAATCCTAAAACCTAAACTCCGAACTTCTACAAAACTGATCTTTAGATTGTGAGTTAAAAGTTTAGTGGGAATTTTTATAGAAAAGTTATAGATTTTTTTGACATTAAAAAAATTATAGATTTGGACGTCAATGTCTGTATAAATTATTTTAATTTTTTAGGATTTATATATATCAATGATTTATTGCGGAACTGATCTTCATCGTTTGTATATTTAATGAATGTTATTTATTAGTTTATCGTTTGTGTGGTATTTTTGATAAATTATATCTAATAGGTGTTTTGCCCGTACATACGGGCTTAATTATCTTTAAGTCAATTTAAAATCATCAAAATAAATTATTATTTACATCTAAAAAATTAGACCTAAAACGTTAAACTTTTTTACATGATAAAGTTATTCACAAATTAAAATAAAATCTATTTTTTTTGCTTTAAAATTTGAAAAATCTAAAGTCTATTTCATTTCTTCTTAACTGATAAAAAAATATAGAAATCTATTTTTCAATTTGAAAAATTGAATCGATAAATATACATTCAGAAATTGATTTTACCGAAAGAATAATATTAGTTTGGATAATAATACAATATTTAAATTCATTTCTGTCAAACACGTATTATTTTTGTTTATTTTTGAATGATCTTTTATTTTTTCTGATTAATTCATGTTTAAGATTTAACTATATAAAATATAAAAATAAATTTAATTTAACGTGTGAGTTCAGAGGCGAAAAATAAGTTCACAAATATATACCATTATATTATATTATTATATTCTTTTAATTTGAAAATAACTATGTATTATAAAATTTTCAATTTTCTTTTTTTAATTATATACAATTAAAATTTTGCTTTATGAATATTTATTTATGTGTTTTCTGTTTTTGAATTTTTATCATTATTATTAATTTAAATCATTTATCTAATCAAATAACTATTAATTTCGTTTTTATTTTTGGTTGATATATATTTTATTCATTAATGGTATAAACAATATTAACCACTCCAACTTTTAACGTGAGAGCTCCGTTGCGAAAAATCACTTTGCAAATAATAGTATACTAGGTGGACGGCCCGCACGCCTGTGCGGACATTAAGGTAATCTATACATTGCATGAATAAAAAATAATATAAATGTATAAATGTATTGTAATTTTCTTTCTCTTTTACATGGATAGTCTTTTTTTAATATATTATTCTATTTTACTCATTTCGTTTCTTCTTGTATTTTTTCACACATTCGTTTTGTTTCTTATGTATCTCTCTTTCGATTATTTTTGTATGTCTTTGTACACCTCTCTCGTTCTCTTTTTCTTTCTCTCTCTCTCTTAGTTGATCAAATAATCTCAAAGTCTCTTAAACTTACATTCACTCTCTCACAATCACCTATATTCATTCTCTTACTCTCGTCCTTAATATGATCCTCAATATTTCATTTTAAAACTCTTTCTATCTCTTTTTGGTTGCAAAATTTTCAGCAGATTTTGTTAAATCTTCTAAACACTTTGACATAGTATTAATAAATGATTTCAGAATCTATCTCACTTATATTCAGTCTCTCACTTATATTATTTTTCATCTTCATTATGATTATAACTGACTCTCTAATCCTTATCATCACCATATCTCCCTCTCTTTCTCCCTTTCTTACATATTTTTTTATTTAGAATTTAATATAAAATCACTAACTAACCAAATAAATTCATTATCAAATTCTCTCCAATCTTCACACTATCTTATCAAACATTGATTCTTTTGACCAAGATTTTCATTGAAAAATAAATATTTTATTGTTAATTTTGTTTTTTTTAATTACTTCATTATATACATATTTCAAGTAAATCTAAATAACTGTATTTCAAAAAAGTAAATTTGATTAAATAATTATATAACATAAAATATTTTAATTCTTAAATGATGTGATGTCATTATTTTAGACATATATTAATATAAACATGAGATTCAACAGTTTTAATATATCAAAATAACATGTTTCTAATTATATAAATTTTGTTATAACTTTGTTATCATTTATTTTTAAAGTTTATTACACCGCAAAAAATAATTATCATAAAATAATTAATTTTAAAATTAATTTGCGTTATATTTTGTATCTTCAACATTAACAATTTTATAACTTATCATTATATTTATCTTCCTTGCTCAATTTTTCCTTATGTTGTATAAACACCTAAAAATAATTAGTTTACAATTATATTAATACGTAAAAAGTATTTTGGTATACAAATAAAAAATTATGTATGTACAAATACAAAATAACGAAGAATACAACAAAAGGTTTTCTTATTATTCACTCTTGTTTTTATTTATGTCTCTTTTCTTTTTTTATTATTAAAAATAAACATGCCAATTTTATTATACTTAAAGCTATATGAATTATATGAATATAATATTAACTCTAATCTTGTATTAATATAATTTTATGATTTTTTGTAATTTTATATTATAATAAACTTTTTATTTATTCATATTTTTAAAATGACATACCATATAATTTTCTGTTTTAAATATAAAAATACTTAAATAATTTTTGAAAGTGATAACTCAACTATACTATCCACATTTATCTCTGGAAAATGATAGACTTTTAAAAATATTTTACATTTGACTATTTTGCATTCATTGAACATATTTTAAGAATATATATATATAGTGAGTGAGTATAAAAATATTATTAGTTTTCAGTAGTGTATGATTTTTTATCCACTATTAATATAAAAAAAATCGTTTATATACTTATTTCTATAATATAATATGTATTTATATGTATATTCTAAATTTTTATAATGGAATATGTGATATTTAATTGTTTCTATAAACAAATTCTATTAATCCTATGTATTTAAGATGATTAATTGTTTGTTTGGTAATATATATTAGATTAGGTAATTCTAGGATTAGTTTTCTTTTTAAAAACTTTAATTAAATAAATAAAAATTCAAATGCCAACAAACAATCAAATTAAGAGAATTAATTATACATTGCACCTATGAATGACACGTAAGCAAAATTCATTAAAGTGATTTCTCTTTTAATATATAGGGGGATATATATATATATATATATGAATTATATTTTTAAAAAATATATATTTAGATTATGAATAATTCTTATCATTATTATTAATTTAAATCATTTATCTAATCAAATAACTATTAAATTCATTTCTATTTTTGGTTGACTTATATTTTATTCATTAAGGGTATAAACGATATTAACCACTCTAACTTTTAACGTGAGAGTTCGTTACGAAAAATTATTTTATTAATAGATCTTTTACTAACGGAAAGATTATAATGATAAAGTATTAATTGTGCTTTTTTTGAAACCAATAATATTTATACTTTCATTTAACAATTCTTACATATCGTTCTTTGTAATTTATGTTCACTATTAAAAATAATTTTAAAATCAAATAATATTATTTTAAATTATATAAAATTAAGAAGTTGACTTGATTAATATCTACTTATTTATTTTCTATTGTTTTAATTGTTAAGTTTTTTATCAAAATATATTTTCAGATAACATCACAGTATATATCGGAATTATCTTATTTAAAAAGATATTATTTAGATTTTGGATAGTTCTTATTATTATTATTATTAATAATTTTAGTTACTTATCTAATCAAAATAATTGAAATTTGTTTTTATTTTGTATGTAATTTATATATTATTTTCATTAAGGATATAAACGATATTAATCACTTTAACTTTTAACGTGTGAGCTCCGTTGCGAAAAATCACTTCACAAATAATAGTATAGATGATAATTTTTTTATCAATGATCTTTTTTTTTTGCAAAATCTGTAATCGTAGAAGCCAAAAAAAAATCGAACTGAAATTTAGAAAAAGAACATTACGAAAAACATCCTTAATAAAATAAAATAATCTGGGCTTAATAGGGCCAATCGATATTTAAAAGGCCCAAAAGAAAACATTAAAAGCCCAAAAGAGCACAAGCAGTTATCATAAAATAGCTTTCACGCTACACCTAGCAATGGCGGTCGGAAGTGGGGAAGAATTGGATTCGTAGCGAAAGAGAGATAGAAGAGAAGGAAGAAGATGTCGGGAATGGGGGACGGGTACGTGGGCACGTCACAAGATGGGGTGAGGATACGGAGGCTGCAAAAGCAAAGAGAAGCTGAACGGCGTAAGATCCAGGAGCTCAAGAGCAAGACTGCCTCCGGTCAGGAACAATCAGGTCTTCTCCAATTCGGCTCCAGCTCTTGCGAGGTTCCCTTTTTTCTATCTCTATTTCTAGGTTAATTATCTGATTTGATTCCTTCTTCCCTAATGGTAGATTGTTGCAGGAACTAAATTAAGATGGCTCAATTATAATTTTCAAGTATTTACATAAAGAAATTTTGAAAATCGTTACTTTGAGAAATTAGATAAAAAGGACGTTGCACTGATTGGCATTTTAGTGTGATATTTGGGCTAGTGAGTGACTATTAGTTAGTTAGTTAGTTGTTTTAACATAAGTTTTTGTGTGTTTCTTTAGATTCTTGACACTGCTTTCAAGAAGGAAACGGTGGGTTTAGTCACCAGAGAGGAATATGTCGAGAAGGTAACTAACTGCTTGTCCACTTATATACTTCAATATTATTATTTACACAAGTCATCTAGCTTATGGTGTTCTTTCTTATCTGTAGAGGGTTAATATTCGTAATAAGTTTGAGGAAGAAGAGAAGGAGAAGTTGCAGAAGCTACTCCAAGAGTGAGTATACTTTCTTTCTTTCTTTCTACACCTCTATTCTTCAGAATCAAGTGTTTCATCGTCTTTGTTTCTAAGCAACAGGGAAGAGGAGCTTCAACAACAGAAGCGTAACAAGAAGAGAAAGATCAAGGGAAGCTCCCGCTTATCTTTTGCTGAAGATCTTGAGGATGGCTCTGATGAAGATGATGGAGAAAACAGTAAGTTAATTGTGGTGTTGTTAGGATTAGGTGTGGTACTTTCTGTCACTGGATTAAAACCACTGTCCTATCTTCTGCTGAAAGAATGAATCTCATCATGTATTAGACACATTAGTTGGATAACTGTACATTGGAGTCTTGCTTGGTTGTTGGAGCTTCTGAGATGCATACAGCTTACTAGCATAGCCTCTTGAGTTTGTATATTTTGGTAACTTCTGTCGTTTATGCAGAGACAGCGAACTTACGTTTTGGAAAACTTGGCAAGGACCCCTCAGTGGAAACTAATTTCCTGCCTGACAGGTGATCTCTTACTCCCTCCTGTATCTTCTTTGTCTTCATTTTTTTTGCAGCAAAGTCTTAACTTAAGGTGCTGTGTTTTTAGTGAGCGGGAGGCGGAGGAACAAGCTGAACGTGAAAGGCTAAAGAAGCAGTGGACTCGTGAACAAGAGCTGATTAAAAGTTTGTCCAGTTTCTAGTTGCTTACTTTTTATTCAAGGAAGATTGTCTCACTAGTACTTTTTGTGTGTGTGATTTCAGACGAGCCTCTTCAGATTACTTACAGTTACTGGGATGGGACGGGCCATAGACGAGTTATCCAGGCAAGCACAAGCTACACCTTTGGTCTTACTGTTTGAGCTTAGGTCATATTCTTACTTTTGTGATTTATACCTCTTGACAGGTTCGAAAGGGTGACGCAATTGGGAATTTTCTAAGGGCAGTTCAACAGCAGCTTGCCCCAGACTTCCGGGAGATACGGACAACATCAGTTGAGAATTTGCTATACGTAAAAGAAGATCTTATAATCCCACATGTGAGTGCCCTTTACAAGAAAAAGAAAAAAATCACTTATCGAGTTTGAACAACTAGAACATAAAGATAACATAAGGGGATGTTGTGTTTGGTGTTTATTTGAAAAAATGCAGCAACACAGTTTCTACGAGCTGATTATAAACAAGGCTAGGGGAAAGAGTGGACCGGTAAGCCTTGCTGACTGACAATGTTTTCTGAATTCATGAAGTTTTTATTTAGAAAACTGTAGCTGAGACTCCTTGTTCTCTTCTTCTTAACAAAACCAGCTGTTTCACTTTGATGTGCATGAAGACGTGAGAACAATTGCAGATGCAACGATCGAGAAAGACGAGGTATGTCATGTGATATAATAATTTCATGAGAAAAACAAAGTAGTTTGATGATGATAAAGTACTGGTTTCTTAAAAATAAAATGGTATGTGTTGTGGTTGGAAGTCGCATGCGGGGAAAGTGGTGGAGAGGCATTGGTACGAGAAGAACAAGCATATATTCCCTGCTTCCAGATGGGAGGTAAACTAACTACTTACTACTACTACTACCCTTTTCTCTGCTAATTAATACGTACTGTTTATCTGATTTCGAGTAATCTTATTTTTGTTTGTTTTTCCATATATTATTTGGACAGATTTACGACCCGACAAAGAAGTGGGAACGGTACACAGTCCATGGGGATTGATTGCTAAATTGGATCACTTGGAATCTTGTTCACATGATGACCGATGATTTATCAGATTTGGTGGTGTACTAGTAGTGGAATTCTCATGAAACTTTTTTTTATTATCGCTCCTCCATGATACCATTACTTTCTGTCTCTCTTTATTAAAAAAAACAAAAGAAAAACAACTTGTTTCTATTTTAGTTTTGATATTTTTTATATGATGTATTTGCGTTAAGTTCATGTTGAGGACAGAAATTAAAAGAATGTTGAAACAAATAATTATGTGAATCGATGTATTATTATATAAACAAGGTAACATATCCTCAAACAAAAAAACAGACAAAACAAAACGCTGTCGTGTTCCGAGTTTCAATGGCTCTGGTTTTTTTACATACATAAATAAATAATTTATTTTAATTGTTTACCATTTAGCATAAATAGCATCGAAGAGGAGGAAGAGAGTGTTTTCTTTGTGCAAACTCGTTGACCAAAAGAAAAAAGAAGAGAGGCGAAGAAGAAGATGATGATGAATGTTAGGGTGTTGTTTCTAGCTCTCCTTCTCCTCGCAACTCCTCTCCTTCAAGGTCTTCTTCTCTTTTCTCATTGGTTAATCTTGTGTTTTTGGATCTAGATCCGTTTTTTTAAAAACCGTCGCATTCTTCTAGTTTCCGGATTGGTACCGATCTGCTGTTTCAGATCTTGAATCCTAGTTATGGATCCGATTGCTGGCGATTTATTTATTCATTAATAATAATCTGTCGTTTTCTGTGTGTTGCTGCGCACTGTGGTTGAGACATATACAGATCTTACTTTGTATCTTTAGATCATTTCATCAATCATCACTTATCTGCTTATAGATCGGATTTCTAAATTATATATATTATAGTGCCTTCGTGCTGCTGCATGTCTTTATTTTCTTATTATCTGTGTCTTTGATTCACGATAATAGTTACCTGCTCTTCTAATTTTTTCTTGAATTGAAACTTCTTCCATGCGTCAAGGATATATCGATAGATCAATCATTTCCCTTCTCTTTTTTTTTGGCTCAAATACAATGATCTGATGTGTTTGTTTGTTTGTTTGCTCTTACTATATCCCTTTCTCAGTTGCTAGATGTCAAGTGGACGATGATCATTCCAGTCTTGTTGACGATGTTGTCGGAGAACACAGTGATTCTGCTGTTGACGAAGATGACCAGGACTTGGATCTCAACTTGACATCAGCTCCAGGAGTTGAAACTGTTTGTGTTTTCCCCAAAAACAGTGCCAAAGGTAACAGATCCTTCCCCTAACTATCCCTTGTTATTGTAATCATTGCCATTTCTTGAAGATTTTTTTTTTTTTAAATCCCATTGTTTCTACTGCAGTGGTTCCAGCTGGAGAAGAGACTGAGCTCATTGTTGCTCTCAGAAATGATGGTACCTCTTTTTAACTCATGATCCCTTTGTTGCTTGTTAAAGCAAAATACTATCTTCTAACTATATTTCCAAATTGGCTTGTGTGTGGCAATACAGGGAAACCTAGGGTTGGTGTGATGGGAATCAGGGCCAGCGTCCATCTTCCTTATGATCATAAGTTGTTGGTTCAGAATCTTACCATGATGGTAACTTCTTCGTTTTCCTCGTCATATACACCTTTTGTCTCTTCTTGTTTTGTAAATTGGGTTGTCTTTTTTACACTGGATGCATGTTTCCTTACAAAATGTTTTTCTATTGTTATTGGTTTTAGGCCTTTGCCACAAAGAAACTAGTTCAAAATATTTGTTTCCTGATCTTCTCATGCTTCCGCACCTTTCATTTTGCAGAGATTCAACAATGCCTCCATCCCTAATTCTGTTCAAGCAACATTCCCCTACATCTTTGCAGTTAGCCAGTACCTGCAGGTACACACACATCCCACAACTCATCACATTTTAATATAACAACGACAGTAATCTAACTCCGTGTTGCACAGCCTGGAGCATTTGATCTGGTGGGTTATGTCATCTACGACGTGGAAGGGAAAGCATACCAGAGTGTCTTCTACAATGGAACCATTGAGGTTGTTGAATCTGGAGGTCTTCTCAGCGGTGAGTCTGTCTTCCTTATTACACTTGGGCTTGCTCTCCTCATGCTCCTCGGTCTATGGGCATACAGCCAAGTACAGCGTCTCACCAAGGTAAAAAGCCTTCCTGTTATTGTGTTTTACAGTTCTATTTTGTGGAATAATTTATTCATTTGTTACTAATATTCATCGGACAATCTCTCTCTGTTACCAGAAAACCAAAAAGGTGTCAAAGGTGGAAGTAGGAACAAGGTCTACGGACGCATCAATGGACGAGTGGCTCGAGGTTCGCATCTCTCTCTCTTTTACTAGAGTTTGTTTCCTTTTCGTTGAGATTGAAGTGTGTTGTTTTGTCTTTCAGGGAACTCATTTGGCCAAGACATTGTCTGGGAAATCAAAGAGCAAGAAGAACTAAAGAGTCCTTTACAGTTCTTATAGACTCAGCTTTTTGGCGTTTTGAAAGAGTTTTAAGTTCAGTCTTGAGGAAGTTTAGGGTTATAAACGTTACTCTTTTTTTTTGTTCATGCATTGTACCATCTAGACAATCTTTCTTTTTCTTCTTGTCGTACTTATTCTCCTCATGGAACAACTTAACTTATAATCTCCCCTTTACAAGTAAGAATTAGACCAGCTAGTTTCGAATTTCACACTAGAACATTGCAAAAGAAAAGTAGAAGAAAACAGCATTGACGAGAGGATTATATACAACAATTTAGTTAAAGTTTCAGTGACAATTCATCACGAAAGGCTTCTACACTAACCTCCGTTGAGAGGCTTAGTTATTTCACTTGAAGTGTTGTTTGAGAATTATTTTTAAGATCATATAGAAAAGAACTCAGCTTTACTCCACAAGTACGTAAATAGTGTAATCACTTTATAAGTTACAAGACAGATCTTAAACCAAAGACCTTTTCTCTCCTCTCTCTATTGCAGAACTAAACTTTTGTAAAACCAGAACTCCCGAATCAATTTTTGTTTTCCATTATTAGTTCAAGAACACAACAACAAGAAGCTCACAAACCTCCCTTTTTTTTATTTCCTCATACATGAGGAAAGTTGTCAATCAAGCAGCAACTTTCTTTGACGTGACTGAGTTCACAATGGTCGCAAACTCAGGTCCCTACAGTCACATCAGACGTGGGGTTACATTACATTCATCAACCAACCACAATAATCATATAACTAAACTTTTACTAACCTTCAAGGAGGCACCACCGACAAGAAAACCATCAATGTCTTCTTCTTTGGCAAGCTCTGCACAGTTGCCTCCATTCACAGAACCTGACAGTTGTAAAGGAAGGGCATCATCAGCATACAGTTCGAGTTCGTGAACAAACTAAACTAAACTAAACAAAACGCACCTCCGTAAATGATCCTCGTTTTGGAAGCAACTTCTTCAGAGACATTCTTCTTGAGCCAATCGCGGACAGCTACATGGACTTCCTGTGCTTGCTGAGGAGATGCAACTTTACCAGTCCCAATTGCCCATACAGGCTCGTAGGCAACCACTACCCTGTCCCAGCTAGGCACAGCATCTAACACACACACAAATATAAAATGTAACATGAAACATTATTATTAAGTAATAGAAAAAAGGAAGGAGGGGTGTGTAAATTGTAATACCAGCAAAGGCCTTCAATTGGTGGAAGCAAACATCAAAAGTCTTGCCTGCTTCCCTCTCTTCTAGCTTCTCCCCGATACAGGCTATCACTCCAAGACCCTCACTCAATGCATACGCAGCTTTCTTCCCGATAAACTATGTTTGTATTGAGAGAAGAGAGCAAACATTAACTTTTTTTTTAATGAACAAACTAAATAGTTCTAGTTTAAGTATATTTATCTACAGACCTCATCGTTTTCTCCGATGACATGCCTCCTTTCGGAATGGCCAAGAATGACCCACTTGCAGCCAATGTCTTTGAGCTGTTCCACGCTGTTGTAATGGGTGAAACAGGTGAGTTATAAAGTTTGAGATGTTACTTAAAAGAATTTTTCAAAATCATCATATAAGTAATAAGAGAAGAATGTAAACCTGATTTCACCAGTGAAGGCTCCACCTTTGCTAACCCAAGAGTTCTGACCAGATATTTCAATACGGTCTGTCAAGGAAGACTTGACTTGGTCGATGTACACATATGGAGGCGACACAACAACATCTACACACATCATTAAGAAACAAAATAAATACATCGCAAAGCTTCAACTTCAATGATTGATTGGCATTAAGATAGTAGAGAGCAGAAAGTCTGACCAACATCAGGTTCCAAGGTGGCAGTGTTGAGGTCAGAGACAAGCTTGGCGATGGAGTCCTTAGTCCCGTTCTAAGAATACATGCCACAAGAGAATGTTAGTTAGTTTCAGGGAAAGATAGAAGAGTTTTTATTTTATTTTATTTTGTTTTTTGAACTTTGAGATAGAAAGATGAATTGGATTCCTTAGGACAATTGTACTTACACACTTCCAGTTTCCTCCAACGAAAAACTGCAACATAAGAGAGATACAAGGATCAGACAATGATGATGATAATACTCAATAAATATATACATGCAAAGTACAGTCCAAAAAGCTAAGCATTGAATCATATGAATAGATTCTAGAGTTGAAAGCACCTTTCCCGATCCGGCCATGGCGACAACGCCTCTAGGAGACCGGTGCGAGGAGGAAACGAGACGGATAGAGGAGTTAACGCGGTGTGAGAAGGGGACGGCGGCGGTGTCGAGTTTGGGGCAAGTGCGGCGGAGGCCCGAGAAAGAAGGGGCAGAGGGCTGAGTGCCAGCGGCAGTGAGAGAGGAAGCCATAGAGAGAGAATAGGTGCTTTGGCTTGTAGTGAGTGGAAAAGAAAAAGACGAGACTATGACTTTCTCAAGAGTCTCTCAATCTAAAAAGAAAGGCAGAAGAGCAGAGATAGAGATAGAACAAAAGGCGATGAGGGTTGGTGTGGTGCTCCTGAGTTTCTGATGCAAGGCTACTTTTGTCTTTTTTCTTTTTTTAATAATAACACGAGTTCTAGAGTTTGGTATCCATGCCAAATGCGCCTGAGGACGTCTGTCTCTCACGCGCTTTCAATCCGACGAAAGCCTTTCCCAATAGGCCCATTTTGTGAGGGGAAAACATCGAGATTGTCGAAATTAGAAATCTGCCTTTGCCAAGAAAACATGGGCCGCTATGGTATCCATTGGGTCAAGAATTTACTGATTTGCCTACACCGGAAGCTTCTTCTGTAAACGTGGCAAGCTAGGGAGATTCTGTAAGATTTGGGCTGAATTTTGTAAATATTTAGGTAGGAGATTTTTATGTTTACCGAGGTGGCTAAGAGATTCTGTATCTTCCAAGCCTTCATCTCGACCGTATAAAATCTGACAAAGGCGGCAGCAGCTTAGCGTATCCCACACGAGATCTACACCTCTACATACACCACCTTCGTATACATAGGCGATTTTCCATCTTCCTTATCCATTGTGTCTATAAAAGACTGTAACCATCAAACAAGCTTCACAAAATATCTCTCTCGGACCTGTGGGTTAACACCAAAAATAGCTAAATTTCGAGTACGCTTTAATATCATTGAAGGTTCGTGTGGGTTACCAACCTAACCGAAAGGTAATGTCAGTTACGGTCACAACTTAACTCTTTATGGTTTCTTCTCTCCATTAAATGATCATCTATTTATGTTAATGAGTATGGATAAGTAAACTATAAAGACGGAATCGTTTGTCGGTTTTAAAACCAGCTTAGCGTATCCCACACAGATGATGTGGGGTGACTTAGACGTCAATATTTCATATTGGAAGGCATGGAGATCAAGAGATGTGGCAATGGAAAACACAAAAGAAACCGATATGACCGGTTACGCAAAGCTCCCAGACTACCTTAACAAGCTTGTGAAAGCGAATCCTACGGTGGTTGAGATGTACACTGTGCCTAACAACGACGGTGGTCACCGGTTCAAATATTTGTTTGTAGCCTTTGAAGCGTCGATCAAGGGTTATGAATTCATGCGGAAGGTAGTGGTGGTCGATGGAACACACTTGAAAGGCAAGTACGGTGGTTGTTTGCTGACTGTGTCTGCGCAAGATGGAAATTACCAAATATTTCCCTTGGTGTTTGCGGTCGTAGATGGGGAGAATGATTTGTTATGGGAATGGTTTTTGACACAGCTTATTAAGTTTGTCGACAACTCATAGAAGTTGGTGTTTGTCTCCGACAGACACCCTTCAATATTTAAAGTCGTAAGCAATGTAAGAGTTTACTGAATAGTATTTCAAGAATCTATTATTCAGTTGGGAAAGTAGTAGGGTTTTATTAATTAGTATGTATGAAACGCAGGTTTTTCCATCAGCGGGTCACTGCATCTGTATTGTTCATTTGAAACGTAACATACGTTCTAACTTTACCCGGAGACAGCTAGAGTATTTGGTGGCGAAAGCAGTAAGATGTTTCCGGCTACAAGAATTTTACGAAACCTTCAACCAAATAAAGGAAATTAATCACAAATGTGCTGAGTATCTTGTCGATATAGGTCTACACCATTGGGCTAGATCTCACTTCAAGGGCAACAGGTACGATGTAATGACCAGCAATCTTGCAGAATCTTGGAATGGAGTGTTGCGAGAGGCGAGGGAACTACCTCTAATTCGTTTGGTAGAATTCATCCGGAGTAAGCTCATGACATGGTTTGCGACGCGTCGGGAGATAGCACATAAGAATAAAAATCATTCACAGCTTACACTAAAGGTACTAGGTCTGCTAACCAAAAATTTCGAGGTCTTTGGGGGTTATGAAGTTCTTAAGATAGCAGAGAAAGAGTATGAAGTGCGTGAGAAAGAAGGTGGTGGATTCCATGTGAACCTCCATCTCAAAACTTGTAGCTGCTTTCAATTTCAAATGCTTGCTATGCCTTGCTCGCATGCAATTGATGCTGCTTTGAAAGAAAAGATTGGAGTTGAAAGTTTGGTGGCACCAGTTTATAGGTTGTCTCAACTCAGAGCAACATATGAAGGGAGCATTTATCCCCTTGAAGGATTTAAAGGAGTTGCAGATTTGGTGGCTAATATAAATGGCGTCCACATCTACCCCCTGCAACAAGGCGTCCTCTTGGAAGGCCCAAAAAACAGAGGTTTTTCTCAAGAGGAGAGAAAGTGGTATGTAATATGGTATCTTCTGTTAACATATTGGGTTGAAATGCATATTGTAATATTTTAGTTGCTCGCTGTGCAGATGAAAGGAATTCGTAGGAGGACAGCTTGTAGCAGGTGCAAGAAGTTGGGTCACAACAAGGCTACCTGCAAGGAACCAATATAAGCGGGGGAAACAACATGTTTTGGGGGAGTTTTCCGGATTATGGAAAGATTTAAGTAACGAAGGTGGAGGGTTGGGACGATGTATGTAACGAAAGAGGTTAAAGATGGAAGAATAATGAAGGGTGGCATGTAAAATATCTTTGGGTGATAACATAAACCATCTGGGGTGTGTAAGTTGGTTCAAGGTTGTCCGGTTTATATAAGAAAACTCCCCCATTTTGTACAAGATGATGAACTGTTGACAAATAAAAACTAAGAAGCCTAAAAACTCACATCGTAAACACATTTAGCCGGCTAAAGGAATACTTATCGACAAATAATAATTTCTAACCTGCTAAGAAAACTAAGTCGACAAGGTTATAAAATCTAAACCCTAAACCGTAAACCCGTAAATCGTAAACCCTAAACAGTAAACCGTAAACCCTAAACACTATAACGTGAACCCTAAACGCAGTACATTAAATATAAAACCCTAAAGCCTAAAGAGTAAACCAAGACACATAAAGCCTAAACCCTAAACCCTTAACCTTTAACCCTACATCATTAACCATGAACCATAACAGCCGTACCCTAAACCCGACACAGTAAATCCTTAACAGAGAATATTTAATTGACATTTAGCCGGCTAAACGTATTCTTATCAACTGATGATTATGTGTAACCAGCTAACAAAACTTTGTGGATGACTTTATGAAGTCTACAAAACTAAATCATAAACCATAATACAGCAAACCCTAAACCCCGAAACCCAAAACTCTAAACCCTAAACCTAAACCCTAAACCCTAAACCCTAAACCCAAACCCTAAACCTAAACCCTAAACCCTAAACCCTAAACCCAAACCCTAAACCATAAACCCTATATCCTACACTCTAAACCCTAAACCTGTAAATCATATACCCTAAACCATAAACAGTAAACCGTAAACCCTACACACTATACCGTGAACCCTAAACGCAGCACATTAAATATAAAACCCTAAAGCCTAAAGAGTAAACCCAAACACATAAAGCCTAAACCATAAACCCTTAACCTTTAACCCTACATCATTAACCATGAACCGTACCCTAAACCCGAGACAGTAAATCCTTGACAGAGGATATTTAATTGACAGTTAGCCGGCTAAATGTATTCCTATGAACTGATGATTATGTGTAACCAACTAACAAAACTTTGTGGATGACTTTATGAAGTCTACAAAACTAATCCGTAAACCATAATACAGCAAACCCTAAACCATAAAAATCAATAAACCCCTCAACAATAACCCTAAACCCTAAACACTAAACCTTAAACCCTAAACCCTAAACAATGAACACTAAACCCTTAACCGTAAACCCTAAACCCTAAAAGGTCAACCATTAACCCATAAACCCTAAACAATAAACAGTAAACCATAAACCCTAAAGGGTCAGTACTTTTAATTTAGTAAACTAAGAAGTAGTTTACAATAATTGTTAACCTTGTTATTGATTACTAAACCGGGTAGAGCTTGTTGTAACCAATGTATGGAAAACCTATATCCACGAAAGAAATAGACGATGATCCCTAAACCAACACTAGAAAATTAAACCTATAACGAGAGAAACGTTTGTTAACAACAAATTGGTTTACATAGGGGCAATGTAGAGCATTATCTTAACGTAGAAGATTAGTTATTACATAACCACGACATAAACGGCAAACTTATGATGGCCGGACTGCCGGCTAACTAGTAAGAGGCATGCGAATACTACATTACAACATAACAACCATTCCCCTGCAACTGAGATTCGAGTCTCATCTGACGTTGTTGAACTTGTTTTTCCAATCCACCAATTTCAGATTTCAAATCTGACAGCTCCCATTTCACCTATGTTACCAAATCCTTTAGATCTTCAATCTCCTCAACCATACATTCATCGGTCCAGGTGAAAAGGTGAGATTTGTCCTACATACACGACGAAATAAGAAATTTACGTAAGTTGTTTCAATGTTGGGCAACATAAGTACATGACCTAACTTGTATAACCTCTTCAGATCCATAGGGACAACAATGGAAGAGGCGACCAGGGTTTTTCTGCGTTCCCGACGTCTTAATCACTGCCTCCTCCTCACATCTGCTATATTTTGGGAAACCCCTCTCTTCGGGACGACGACGGCGTCTCCATCTCCCTAGACCTACGATTCACAATTAAACTTGTTAACTGCAATTTCATAAATTATTAGTCAATAGGTTAACATACCGGAGCTTAACGTAGACTTCTGGGAATCCGACTGGGGCATGTTTAGCAATTTCGGAGGAATGGCGAGCTATCTAAATATAATTTTCGAAGCTGAGAAATAAAGTGGAGTTGTCATGAAGCAATAATTGTAGAAGATGATGTCTGTATGAAACGACATCGTAGTGATAGTGGATGTGAATGAACAAAAAAACACGAGGGCCCAAAGTGCTTAACATAATTGAGCCTAAATTAACGAACCATTATGTTATCAGACTGTTTTAAATTTAGAAAACCAGTATAGCAGGCAAAACAATGGAAAAACAACCATACAATGGGTTACAACAACATAACATTAGCCGGATATTAATATAGTTAGCCACGCGATAATACCAATAACCGGTTACATAAGTCCAAGCAAAAGGAAAGAAGAAAAAAGTTGGATACCAAATTCAGCGTATACATCAAACGATAGTACATTACGTTTCAGTTAAACCCATGGTACTCGTCGACGAGGATAACTGCAAGCTGTTCAACCTTGGTGTCGACAATGGTCGGGGTGATGCATTTACATATTTCAAGACCACCAAATGCGTGAGCTTTAATCAGTACAACCGCAGCAACGCCCGAGTATAAATTATTGTGTATCTGGGGTACAGCGCGTGGACGATCAATAGACATGGGCTTATACTCCCTCACGCAATTTGCCTTCCCAATTTGTCGTAGAATATGCGGGAACATCTCCGCAAAGTGCCCCAACTCTTTAAAGATCATAGCATCGGTTCGTTTGGAGATGTTGCAGTCAAGAACTTGAAGGTGCCAATTACTGTTGTCAATGCAGACAGCAACCCAATGATTCTTGTCAAAGTTAAAAGGGAAGTAAAACCTAGATGCAGCTTCAGAGCTTGGGCAATGTGAGTGGAAACTATCCCACAATGTTTGAGGGAAGTTAAACCCTTCTTTCCTGCTAACCTTGCAGAACCTACCATACGTCTTAGACAACAGTGAGACAAACTTGGTGTCGAAGAAGACTGCTCCAGTTGTTGATAGTTCAACACATGTTGTGTCATATACGAACATAGTATGCGTAACTAGCACATCAACAACCTAGGAAATGAACAAGCAATTAAACTATTGGTTAGTGTCTTCTTGGATGATTTATAAATTTAAAACAAAAACCGTATGATATCTAAGAAGGAAGCAGAAAGGACAAACCTTGGGTGGTAGATGCAAAGACTTATCGAGCATTGCAGCAATATCTTTTCTCTCAATTTTGACACCATTAACCATGAAGAAACTATTAAAAACAAAAATTTCAAATAAGTATGTTGCATAAGTCTGAAAGCGTTTCTTTATTGGAGAAGAAGAGTGGCTTACAATGGTGTTTTAAGCATGAGAATGAGTTTTGAATACTTCTCTCCAAGGTCAATGTCATTACCACCCCTCCACCGAGCGACATGTGCTTCAAATGCTCGACTTAGAAAATTCTTATCATATTTGTAGTCACCAACCAAGCCCTTAGGAACTACTTTCTGGCGCTTGCTTTTCCTTTTCTCTTGGCATGGTAGCGCGGCATCATCGGATATCACATCAGCATCGCCGCTGAATCCAAGTTCGCAGTTGTCTTCGTTTACAGCTTCAGGAACAACTACTTCGTTGGTATCTTCTTCCTGAGTCAAGCCTAGTGAAAAATCTGGTTGGTCAAACATGAGTCGAGGATCAAGAGCCTGCATAAAAAGGCATTTGGTCAGATTTATATACTAAAATACATTGCGATGGATTATCTAATAACAGGACATGCCGTATCATTTGCAGGACGTGTTGCATCCACAGAAGGAGCTCTTTCGGATCTTGCCACATAAACACCATCCACAATCAGGTTGTCATCTACTACACCAGGAGAAACCTGCATTTAAAAATGTTTTTATTTTAGGTTATAATTCCACGTAACCGTAAATGTATTAATAATGGAGGCTACAATTTCACTTGTCAGGCTAACTGACTGGTTAGCTTGCTAACTGACGTACATAGACGGTTACATAAAAGTACTTAGCAACATATATTCAGAATCTTAACAGATGAACGTGCTACAAAATATACCATTTTTCCGCGTAGCGAATGGCGCTTTCAATAATCCCGGCAGCCTCAACCGGAGATAGACTCGTTGATAATGGGACATTGACGCTAATGTTAGTCCCCCTCTGAGTACAGTGTCTGACCTCATTGGGAACAAAGCGAACCTGCATATAATAACCATTAGTATTAATAGTTGACGCTTACAGGAGGAGTACATAAACTTACAGCATTCGATCCAATAGGTGTTGCAACTCCATCTACGTTACGCTGGGCATCAACTTCTGCTCTCGCAGGCACTCTTGTTGGTGGATGAAAGGTTGTATTGTTATTAGTGTTGCGAACCACTTCCTCGGGCGCCGATGACACTCTTACCAGAGGACTTACATACTGAGGAGTTGAACAACTTTTCAGTATCTCCTTTTCAAATGTCGACAACATAGCTCTAACATTATCAACAATTGTCGTTTCCATAGTTGAAAAGGCTGCTCTAAAAATCTTCATATCTATTGCCATTGTGGAAACGTCTACAGATAGTTGGTTCACCTGTTGAGATATACGGTCCAAATCTTCTGACAGACGAACCTTCACAATGGTTGCAATTGCTTCTGCATCCGCAACTTCAGAGGTACTTTGTGTTGGTGGTTTCTTATTTTTCCCCTTTCTACCGTCAGCTTTGTTTCTTGTTTCTTTCCTCATTCTCTCAACATCAATTTTTGAAGCACCCCCAGTAAACATGGAAGAATTGAAAGTATGACCTTCTTCAACTAACTCAACAAGATATTCAACCCCATCATCAACTTCATCATCCGACCAACCTAACTCTGCTTCAGAAATGGACGGTTCTGTCCCAAGTGAAATAATGGACATCACAACTGCCTGAATCAAGAAGTAAAAATGTTTTATTACATCTACAAAAACAGGAATACAATTTTCAAACATAACCGGCACCAATATAAACTACTAGCTACACACATCACATTACCTTCCCAGCTATGTCTGTGTCACGAGCATGTGCTGGACAAATACTTTGATTCCCATTCCTCTCCTCATCACGTTCTTCTTCATCTGATACATCCTTTTCAGATCCTGAGGAGCCTCCTTCCTGAACCGCTTCCGTGAGGGCTGGCACTGCTTCAATCATAACTAATTGTAACGCAAGAACAAATCCCTTAAGCGCTATAGTGTTTTGAGACAGAGATACTTCATTCCTCTCTTTGATACTACTGATAAGCAACTGAAACGAGACACGACCCCATGGATATGACAAGAAATCATCCAAATCTTTAATCTTCTCAGCATGTTGATGTGATATCCGAGGTGTATGAGTTGTCGGGAGCACCACTGCTGCAAGAAGAGCTAGATAAGCGTATTTTATTCTTGTTTCTTTATCAATGACACTTCTGTTTTTCAGCATTCTTACAACCGTCGTTACAGGAACTTCTACTAATGTCCCAAATAGCTCGCCCCAGTATGGTCGCTCCTCAAATGCTCTCTTCGTCTTTATTTTTCTCCTTGCCGGAAACTTTGCACAGTTCAGCCCGGTTACCTTTGCGAATTCCCTAAGTGAAAATCTAATTGGCTTCCCTGCAAACAAGAACCATGCTCATATTTCTTCTTTACCCTCAACTGCCTGGAGATTATATATCTCCCAAATCGCCCTGAGAAACTGGGTTTATCAGCAATTTCTACAAGCTTCCCGAAAAGGGATTGACGGATAACTTCAAATTCGTCTTCCTCCATTGCCCGGATTATATCACTTATCGCAAATGGTTTGTGATATGCTGTGACTCTCACACCAACTGGTTCCTCGCCGAGCCCAAATATCCTCTCCGAAAGTCTCCGTGATGGCTCCACATCTGCTCGATCTCCCATCTCCAGAGGCAAAATTTTTGGTGAATTTCAGTGATCTGCAACACTTTCGAGAGTGAGACCCGATTTATTTTGAAGAGGGTATCTCAAAGATTTCGATTTCAAAATTCAAATTTCATATCTCTTCACGTAGATATCTTCTCTGACATTAGATACTGAGGATACGTATATCTCAGGAAATCTTTCACAATCTTCTAAAGTAGATCACGTTAGATTTTCATATCTCGAGAGTGATGTAGGTGATAGGGGTACATTCGTCCACTCATTATGTGAATAGTTTGAAACAGTGATAAATGGTATATGGCTAATTTCCCTCTTTTGTACGTGTATGGACTTCAATTTCACATGTTTAATTTATACACAAAAAACTGGATTTAAATTCTTCAATTCAGTTGCAGCTCATGGCATGAAAATTTTACCATCTACCATTGTTTAGAAGGTTAGTTAACAACCTTTTAGTTTCATTGGTAAGATGCACGATTCAAGTATCCAAATTTATTTGAAAAGATATTCAATTGTGTGATACAGATAAGTAATAATTTGGTTAATTAAATTTGGTAGAAAAAATTAATAGATCGCACAAAAACTGGGAAATTGGCGGATTTAAAACCAACCAGCCATAACTCTTGGAAAATCTCCACATACTTTCATGTATATGGTTGAAATCATGAAATGAAACTAATCTTGTAAGGATGATCAGTGGTATGGTAGGATACACAAGAATGATTGGGTGAAACGTTAATGAAAGATTTCAACATGCCTTCTCCTAGTAATGTATCAATTGAGGCACCAAGTTTTGTTTCACTATCGCAGATATTATCACCCTATAAAACAGAAAATATAGTTATTATAACACATGAAAATTCTAAGTATCGTGCAAATATATAGAACAACATAGGTATTCCGAAAAATAGTGATGGACTTGGTAGTTGACAGAGATCAATATAGGTACATTCCTTATAATACATTTTGAAAACAATAAACTTACGTTTGTGTCGAGAAGGACCATTTCAATTATTAAACCTTCTTGCGTCTTTGCACCGAAAACAGTCTCTAGAGCTTTATAATGTTCACCTTAATTTTCCACATATACTTAAATGGTTTCATTTTAGAAATGGGTCGCGAAAAGCCAGTCCAAAGAGTAGGTGATAACCAGAAGTTTATGGTTGATTGTGTGGAGGACGGATGAAATACCTAGGGTGTGAACTTATTATATAGGTGGACCTAGAGTAATAATAGTACCAAATTTCCATTTATTGTATACTTAATAGATCAATAATAACTTAATAATGTGCAATTTAATCTTTACTATTCTGTAATATATAGAGCAATAACTGAATATTAATTTAAGTAATAAATTTTAGAATTAAGAATTTCCGAATAATTTAAGTTTGCTAATCACGCTACAAACCTGTTAAAATATTTAGAGTTAAATGGTAGTCCAAAATGAAATATAGATATAAGACCTTATATATTATTGTTTTTTTTTGATCAAACGATATTATTTTATTGGTTGTATTGTAAGAAAATCGTGAGTAAGAAGTAGTTGATGAAAAACCGTATGATATTAGGCAATGTTTGAGGTAATTGAACAACCCTATTATCTACTAGTAAATAGCATATCATAGTATAATGTTTGACAATAATTAAATATACTATAAACATTTACATTGTAAACATGACTATTGTACAAAAGAACCTGAAAAGAGGATATCTTAATTCAAATCTAGCGATTGGGACGACAATCTTTATATTTACTCATTAAATTTATTATGTTTCAGTTGAAAAGCGGACAATTTAAGTCTTTTATATTTCAGTTGTTGATCTATTTGCTAATAGATATAGGTAATTTGAAGTCAATAATTGCCACATACATGGAGTTACAAATAATGCAAGGTAAGATAAATGCAGAAACAGGGCTGGATTTGGGCTAAGTCGGATGAAATATTGATTTTGGATCTTTAAATTTTTTGAAGAAAATTACATGTATATAGGTCTCCAAATTTTTTTTTAACATGACTTGTAAAAAAAACCCTAAAAAAGAAGACATCCTAATTCAAATCTAACTATTGAGACGGCAATCTTTACAATTATTCATTAAATTTCCTATGTTTCAGTTGAAAAACGGACAATTTAAGTCTATTATATTTCAGTTGTTGATGTACCTGCTAATAGATATAGGTAATTTGAAGTCAATAGTTGTCACATACAGGCCCGGCCCAATTAAATTAGAGACCTTGTGCCAAAAAAAATTTCTGAAGGATAATATTATAAATTACAATTTAGGACCCTTGTCCATATTATTTTTATAAATCAGGGCACTGATTTCTTAAGATAAATTATCAAAAAATAGAGAGACCTAATGCAAAAGCACCTTGTGCACTTGCCTTAAGCCGGCACTGGTCACATACATATGGAGCTACAAATAATGCAAGGATAAGATAAATGCAGCTTAGCAGCTACAATGATTATATGGTCATGATTAGCTTAAGTGTTATTATAAGACCATCTCTAATGGTACACTATTTTTTCCTCTATAATTTATATTAAAATAGAGTAACTTTATTATAGTGTAAATTTTGTTCCAATGGTTTACTCTATAACAGAGTTACTCTATTATAGAGTAAAATATAGAGGAATATCACTTTTCACTCTATATTTGGAGTGAAATAATGAGATTTCTCTATATTTCACTCTATAATAGAGTAACTCTATTATAGAGTAAATTATTGGAGCAAAATTTACACTAAAATAGAGTTACTCTATTTTAGTGTAAATTATAGAGGAAAAAATAGTGTAATCCATATTCAAAATATATAATTTTAGTAGGATAAAAAGTGCGATATTACACATCATTAACAAAATATATATTATATAGTTTAGAGGATACCACAATTTAATTTTATGATTTTGTTCGTGGTTGGTATCAATATTTAGTCATGATTGGTATATTTGAAAAGAAACGTTGCCCAATGTATACTATCAGTCTTTTAAATTTTATTTCATCGTTTAAATAAGTAAAAATATGATACATCGTTGAATCGGAATATACAAAATATCAATAATAAATAAAACGATGTGATCCATAATTATTAACATAAATGTTACCTTAAAGAGATATTAAATATAATGTAATGTTTCATTAATATTTTGTGTGATTTCTTTAGTAATAAAGTTTCATTTAAATAAAGATTGTGAGGAGAGCTGTAATATTGACATCACAGCACTAAAACTTAAGTCATAACTTAAAGATTCCTCTTTTATATAGGGAATTGGTTTAATGTAGGCCTAGGTACGGATCGAACATCCGGGTTTTCAAAAGTATTTATAATTTTCTTCTTATGTTATGGATATTTAATTTTTGATTTGCTTTGTTTCGATAAAATACGGATATTCGGAAAATGGATATCCGGCAATAAATAGATATTTGCGGATATTTACGAATACTTACGAATATCTCATCTGTTTGAATTAATACAAATAATCTAGAAAATTGATATAAATTTGTTTTGTAATTTTTTTTTTGCATGATAGAAAAGAAAATTTAAAAGAAGTAGTGCATCTCTATATTTTGTAAACTTTTTTAAACTTAGTTAATAATTATAATAACACAAACTTAAAAAAAAAAAAAATTATAATTGTCATAATTTTTTCTCTCTTCCTTTTATGTAATACTTTATATAAGTAATATTATGAATATTTGTCAAAACTTATGTTAGAATAATAATATTTTATATATTTAAAACTTTAAATATAATTAAGATATACATGTATTTATATATTACTGGATCAGATCAAATATCCGCTTCTCAAAATTTTAGTATTTATAGTTTTTTTCGTTTTTCACGGATATTGAGTTTTAATATTTATTTTACTTAAAAAGTTAACGGATATTTGAAATTTTTGGATCAAAAATGAATAACTAATCGAATCAAATTTAACTGATAAAATGACATCTCATAGTTTGATATTACATGTTTTCGTGTGTGTATTAGAGTTGTTACGTATATGGGGTAGAGTTTAATGGGCTTTTAGTTACCAATGGCCCATTATTAGTTAAAGTAAAATCACCGTTACTGCAAAGAAAAGCTCCTCCAAACGCTTCTCTTATCGGTAGTGGGGAAAGAGATGGAACTGCCGGCCACCACAGATAAAAGCTCCTCCAGACGCCTTCTCTTTGACCGCCGTTACGGCTGGGTGTAATAATTCTACTTTTGTTATCAGTTGTTACGTCATCTTTCCCAATGTTGATGGAACAGATTCTTCTGTGTAGGGTCGACGAGTGGAAGGACCCATCGGAGGAAGCTCTCGCCGGTGGAAGAGGAATGTAAGTCTAATCCTTTTGAAAGGTTTCATTCTCATCAATCTATGTAGACAACTGAATCTGGTGGAACAGGTTTTGTGTAGTTCCTTTGGGCAAAACTCTGTTTCATACGGCTTCACAATCTGTAAGTAAAGCTTTTAATATTCCCAATATCAGCAATCCCAAAATCTCCAGATTTTAATTAGCTTTTGATTCCTACCAGCTTCGCTCGACCGTCAAGTTTGTAGATATGAAGCTTCAGAAATGGCAAAATCCGAATTCTACTCTCATGGGAGATTCAAGGTCCGTGGTTGAAACGTGAAAAAAAAAACAAGGCAAAACCTGAGTCAAGTGAATTTTGATTTGACAACTTGTTCATGTGTTCACCTAGATGATCTTCGTTTATATGCACCCTGTTGGAAGTTATGGTTTTGCTTGTTTTCCAAATACATTTTGTGGTTTATGAGTTTTTCACTTGTGAAATTCTACAGTTTTGTAGTACAATGGATAAAGGCAAACCATGAAGACAATACACATCCCAAAAGATTAAAATAGCCAAGATGATTACTTGTAAGCAATAAAGTGAGCCATCTTCGAGAATCTATCAACAACCATAAATATCAAGCCTTGGTCACATTGCACAGCAATCCCAAGAAGAAATCCATATTAGTGTCTGTCCCCGGTCGTGTAGGCACTAGTAAGGGAAAATAAAGTCCCACATGCTATGCTTTTCCTTTGGCTTGGTAACAAATACGACAACGTTCCACAAATGGCTCAACATCTCAGCGAATGGTCGGCCAAGATCTTCTAACCAATTGCAGTGTCTTGTTTCCTTCCACATGACCTTCTGTATGTAGCTCACACATTATTCCAACCGCAAGCTACACTCCAGAATGCATAAAAGAAGACCATTGAACATTAATCCATCTTGAAGTGTCTAACTTGTGAGAAATCCCTTGCTTGCTTCTATGTAAATTCAATAAAAAGAATCCAAAGGGTACAAATTCGCAAATGCCATGAACCCGATGACTTTCGTATGCATAGTGGTGAGCAATCCATGACGTGAGTCTCGACGATACCTTGCTTGACTATATAGGTGACGTAAAGCATCAAGATCAGTGAACCACACAAATTAACTCTTAATGGACTAAATAGTGATGCCAATATTTGATTGTTTGGACAACGGCTTAAAACTCAACATCATAAGTGTTTAGCATGTTTAATGCATGTTGCTTAGATAGTTGCTTAGGAAGAGAGGGATGCTTAATTTGAAGAGAGAGAGTGTGAAAAGTGCTTAATTAAGCAACTTCTCTCCTTCTAAGCAACTCTCTCTCTTCAAATTAAACACTCATCTCCTCTTAAGCAATTCTCTAAGCAACCTCCATTAAACATGCTCTTACCTTCTCTATGCACCCGTCAATTTTTTTCTAAAGAATGCCACAAGGCAGCCTTGTTGGCTTAACACAACGCCAATGCCTAACTTGGAGGCCTAACAATGTAATTCAAAAGTTAAGGAGAAATCGGAAAAGATAAGAATCAGGGTTTTCATTAACTTTTGTTTAATTATATCAAATGCTGTGAAGTCCAAAGTAGTCACTCCATTTCAGTGTGTAAGGACGAGAGGCTTCTTCTGCATCCTTGAAATCCAAAAAGCTCAACTCCCATACGGTCCTTATGACTCTACCTTAGGCCACTTACTACACCATGTTTGATCCATGAGGCATCGATTTGGCAAGTAGGTATTTGGGTATTACATAGGGGAGTTGAATCCTCCAATTGGTTGGAGGGCTTTTGCCTAGATCCTCATCTTCCTCATATTCCTCTCATAGGTTCACAACCCTCCAACATTATACTTCTAGGAAAGAAAGTTGGAGAGTATTGATTGGCGAGATAGCTTTTCAATTAAACACTTTTTTCATTCCTAGCTTTCTAATTGTACTAGATGTTCAAAGGAAATGTAGAGAAATGTGGTCCTAAAGGAGCCATTTCTTTTATCAACCAAAACAGAAAATCAGTTTTTGGTATATTGAAAATAAATCTGAAAGGACAAATCCCCTATATATTAATTGAGAAACATTTGAAAAGATGTAACCTCAAGTTTGTAATAATTAAAAAGTAACCTTGCTTAGTTGTCAATCAATTAGCATACCAATTAAACTGACGTGACAGCTTTAGGTTCAATTAAAATTTGCTAGAGAAAAATAATGAGAGACGCATATAACGCACGTAACATAGTTTACATGAATATATATAATATATATATCCCACGCTAATGAATGTTTCACAAAGGAAAATATACTCAAATGTTCCAGTTTACATTTGCGGACACATTAATACATGCCATGGAAGAAAATGAAAATATACGATTTGATAACGATTTCCATATATTAACTATAACTTCATTCCTTTTAATTTATGGAAGTGTATATGTAAAATGGAAATTACTTTGTGACCAAGTTCAAACTTAATGGTAAAGGCAAGTGTATATGTAAAATGTAAAACTTAATATGTTAACTTGGTAATTTATGTTAAAATTAATATATGCAAATCGTA